CAAGACGCATGCGCACAGTCCGCGCTACAGTACGCCGGCGGTCGCGAACCCCCATTATTCCGCCTCTGCGCCTGGCACGCATGCGCGCGGGCTCTCCCCTCCTACCGCCCCCGCCCGCCGTCTCGGGACCTGGCGCATGCGCGGCGGCGCTACACCCAGCAGTGGGAGTTGAGAACGGCTGTTTGTTGTGAGTTGTGGCGCGAGCGCTCGGCGGCATCCACCAGCTGGGGGTCCGAGATCGCCGGAGGGAAACTTTCTGGGCGGAAGGGGGTTACTAGGAGGCAGCTGCCATGCTCCTGTGTGCTGTGAGGTAGAGGAGGACTGTAAATAGGTGTGTTCCCCCACCGCAGCCTCACCATAAGGCGGGAAGGGGTCGGAACCGTCGCTCGTCCTCCCCCTCTAGCTTTTTGCAGCGGCGATGCAGACTCCTAGAGCCTTCTGAACACAGTCCCTCACGTCTGAGAAGGAAAAGAAACAAACCCCCTAAACTAAGTAGTTGTGGGAGGTTATGGTTAGAGATGGAGAATGAGATGGGAAAGGTACAGCTATGTAGCCCGTTTCCTTGGTGGTAGGTTAATGCTGCGGTACCTCAGGCTGGGGTGGGGTGGGGGGTAGAAGCAGGCCTACTCCACAGCTGCTGGCGTGTAAAAGAGGCTGCTAATCTGACCACCGTCACCAAGGGAAATGAAAAAAAGACCCAGGCAGCATAAGCACCTGAACTGTTATTTTGACATTGCTCTTACACTGAACATCAGCTTAAAAGTTTTTGGTTAAACTTGCAAGTTAGACTTCAGCCTGTACTGAAACTTGACTTGCTTCCTGAGTCAACTAGTCAGGATGAGACAGTTCTGAGAAGCTGCAGAGACAGATAAGCATGTTTCAAATATAAGTTTGTTGTTGACAAATGTTAGTAATACGCCTGGCAAAAGCCTTTCAATTATCACTAACACACAGATTAGTTCAATTATATTTGCACAAAAAAGGGACCTGAACAGTAGCTCAGTTTGCAACCTAAGGCAAATTTAACAAGCCAGGAATAATACAAAAAAGATAATGTTATTATGCAAGTACTGCGGGTTATTTTGAAATGGTGTGCGGCACTGAAAACTCCATTTTGGAATGAATGTTGCAAATTTAGAAAGAATGAGGAAAATGAATGGAAAACAGAAAAAATGCTTGTATGAAGAACAATTCAAAAGAAGCAACAAAATTAGAGAAAGCAGACAAACTAATGTGCCTTGATATGTGTATCAGGGCAACTAGAACAGATACTTTAAGTTTGGAATGTCTACAGAGTCTGATAACTGAAAAGCAAAAGGACATCCTCTTAGAGATAAGAAAAAAATAGTACATTTTGAATTGTTGAAAGGAAGTTTGTGGTTTCTTTTAGTTTGTTTTTTAAAAACAAAACCAAAACCAAAATCCTGGATTATGGAATTGCTGACATGGAAAGGCTTTGGAGTCATGGATTTACGTGGAGGTACAAGGCTACTGTGAGCAAAAATCATCCCATATCTCCTATTATGGTGTACGTATTAATTTCTCAAGAATTTAGCATTAGTCAGTTGTTGTGACATGACACTGAACTCAGATCTGGCCCAGTAATTTGCGTTTTCTTGTTTCTAAGCTTGATGTAGAAACAACTTTATCAGATACTACATAGTAGGATTTATTTATGAGGCCTCAGACTCTCTTCCTGTGAGTACACATGCTTAACTCTGTTAGCATGAATAGTTTCACAGAAGGAAGCTGGACTACCCAAGGGAATATAACAAGCACACATATAAATAACTTTAATTTGGCCTTGTACATACTCATAATTTAGTATTAATGTTTTGTGGCTTAGGCAGACAGTGTGCCTTCAGCTTTTGTTTCATTTATTTATGTGAATGCTTTATGATGAATTTATGGTGAATTTTCTTATTTACATTCTTTGCAATTATAAAATTACAAGGGTTGACCTTATGCTATTGTTCCAAAAAATATATATCTGTAGGGCATATTTACCTTCGACATAATTTTTTAAAAATTATTATTTTACTGCTGTGTATTTACAAACTTTTCTCTGCTTGTTGGTTCCAGTCTAATTTTTACAAGCAGCCTCATATCCACAGAGATGTGATACATTTTAGATAAAGGTTTTACTTTGGAATCCAGTACCAGCTATAAACATTCACTTAATACAAGCAGGTGATGGGCTGCATTAAAATAAATGAACATAAACAAAAAAACTCCAACCCAAAACAAGAACAACCTTGAAACAGAGTTGTCATTCAATATTAAATTGACTGGTGGTATAGAGACATTCAGAGATTCTCTGATGTACTTTCTCAAACAAGAAATCATGAGAATCTATACAGTTATGAACAGTGATCCACAAGTGTTGAGTGGCAACTGTAAACTCAATGATGTACCCACAATTAGCATTGTCAACTTAGAAAGGAAAACATTTACTAATGATGATGCTTTGCGTACTCTGGTAAAAAGTAAGTACTGGGTATCGTTATTTGTTTGAATACCACAAAGAATGACCAGTAGAAGAAAAGCAACATTTCCAAAAATAAGAACCATATAAGTGTAAGTTTGTAAGCTCATACTAATTTTGTTAGTGCCAGGAAGAGAGATGAATTTCACACCAGTAGAGCCAAAACAAGTGGATACTCGTAACTCTACATGCAGTTTTAACTTAAAAGTTCAAAATGGTCTGCTCCTGTCTTGGTAAAAGATTAAGACTTCAGTGTAGAACCTCAGAGTTCTTGCCTTTTATCACTTTAAAAAACTCCAATTTTATATATACTAATAATTGCAGTAATTTGGCATTTATTTTCAGACCTTAAGCACAGTGCAAGACAAGATAAAAGTGATGATAGCATATACTCAAAGGGATTTTGGAGACATGCTATTTTTGTAAGATTATTATTTAGAAAACATTTGAGACACACTGCTTTACATCTTCAAGTCTTGATCAGCTGCTTTATGTAGTTAGGTTTTGTACAGATTTTAGACAAGTAGAAGTCATGTTCATTGGAAACTCCCTCTCCCGTATATTGTGGCAATTTTAGCTAGAATTCATGCAGACATGCTCAAGGAAAGCTAGTGGGAAAGAATCTCAAATATGGGGGGAAATCCACTGAGAAATGTTGGACATCATTGTTGCAATAACAAAGGTAGATAACAAGTAAAGACGGAGACATGAACTGGGGAAAATGTGGTTTTTCGTGCTTTCTCTTTATCCTGTGTCCGCCCTGCCTTTGCAGGCTCTGGACAGAGACCATTTTCTGCATACAGTTCTGTCTTTGCGGTTACTGGTCTTTCCTGTTGTAAAAAGGAGTACTCTGAATCAGTACCAACATCATGATCATCACCAACAGAGAAGTTCAGGAGGGAGTGGGCCATGCATAAAAGTGTAAGTGAAGCAGCATTCAAAAGTAATGGAGCCCTTTGGATTGATTTCTTCCTTCCTCTTCTGTTGAAATGTGGGGCTGGAGAAAACTTCAACAGATCCTTAGTCAAACCACTTACACTGAGGCCAGGTAAACTAAACCTCAGCCATCCCTCACAAGCATTCATCTAATGTCATCAGAACTTTCAGTGAAGGAGATTATGTAGGGGTGGGTTTTTCTGGGAGCCTGTTACAGCAGTTTATTACCTGAAGAGTGAGAAAGTTCTTTTAAATATTCTGTAAGTTTTTTGCACAGCAAGTTAGAGTGATTTGTCCTTTGTTGGACGTGGAGAACCAAATATTCATCAAGTCTCTTTATAAACCAAGATAGGTGATACAGAAAGTAATGACTGAGTGCTCTCACAAAACAAAACAAAATTGACATTTGAAAGAAAAGTCTGACTAATACCACTTTGGTAAAAACATGTATTTGAAATGCTCAACACTTTGCCCTCAGTTTTCTCTCTTCTAGATGAACAAGCCTAAGTAATTTATTCTTCATAGATAATTTTCCTCAGTGCTTTATCAGGCTTGTGACTTTGCTGTGCACTTCTACCTGTTTGTATCTATCAGACTTCCTGTACTCAAGGTTCTCAGAGATCTCACCAATACCAAGTTGAATTAAAAAATCTGTATAAATACTCACACATACACCTCTATGCATCTCCTTTATTCTAGACTGGTTTTGGCTGTCAGATTATTTGCCCCCCCCACCCCCCCTCTTTTTTTTTAAGAAAGACAAGCATGTAATTAATTTGCACTTATTTTTTATTCCACTGTAATTCTAAGACTCCTTGTCCCTATTTTTATGACATTTGTACTTTTTTATGTAGGACTGCTTATCTCATTTATCTCAAGACTATTTGAATCCCAGTCCTCCTCTTATTTCCAAGTATATTGTATTTCACACCAACTTTTTAATAACAGAAAAAAACACCTTAACAAAAACTATTAAGCCACTGACAAATGTGGATGGGACCCACCCTTGAGATGTTTTCCTGACAATAAACTTTCATTCACCAGTACTGGTGAATTCTCTGTCAGCAGTACCAGTGACAGCTTTGCAACTGTGAGGGAAGTTGTGGCACACTAAATTGTTTTGACTTTACAAAGCCTCCTTCTGTAAAGGAACACAAACAAAAGCATATTTTGGAGAATACTGTCATGTAA